ATTGCATTTGCTTGTGTTTACATTCATGTGTAGTGAGTAGTTACCCATTAGGGTTTGAGATGGGTTAGATTAGAGGTTTCATATGCTTAATCCTTCTAGCTTATGGTCTTAATCTAGATTCTCTCTCTTTTGGATAGATCTTAAGGCTACATGACCACTACCCCTGGCTTGTAAGTCCTTAGGCGACTCCCCACACGAAAGTGATGGCATTCGCTGGAAAAGATCCACTAAGAGCTCCAATATCTCTTGCTCTAGACAATAGAGGTCTAAGGGGTTGGATGGATTAGTTTGGGCAATGATCCTATAGCCTCCAAGGTTTGATTCTCACTGGCTAACCCCCTGTTTCTGAGATCATTCCTTGGTTGATAGCCTCCACCTTGGGAAAGGGTTGGCTAGGCATTGAGAAGCCCAATATCAAGAGAAGCCTTGATACAAGGAGTTTTAAGAGCTAGATTGATTAAGTGTAGATTCCTTTGATTGCAAAACCCTGTCTTGAACCCTAATTCTCTCTTTATCTTGTTAAAGTCGTCACCTTTAGCTTGTTTGTCTCAACTCGTCCCTAAACTCGATCGAGCTGGTACTTTGCTCTACTCGACTCGAGCTCTTGGTCGAGCTGACACTTACTGCTTTGTTTACTTTTATTGCACTGCTTTTCATTATTTTTAGGTTGTTAGTGTTACTTCAAATCTATAACTGCTTGCTTGACTTTCTGGTTGTTTCATATTCTCAAAGAGTGACAAGTTTCCCATTTTGGATTGATAACCTCTTATACTTCAATGACTATGATGGTTAAGAGGAATTGATTGATTGTGATTGCACCATACCATCTTTATTACCACTGATTGCATTCCACCTCATCATCATATCACACATCCACAAAAATCCTATCATCAATTTGGCGCCGTTGCCGATTTGGGATATTTTTGTTGCATTTGAGTTTCAAACACACTTGGACGATCAAGCTATACCACCCCTGTTCTATTGTACTGCTGGGTTTTTGTCTCTTTTTGCAGGTGTATGCGAACTCGATCGAGTCGGTCTACTGAGGACTTGGTCGAGCTAGACATTACAACGGGTAGAAAGAGGGTTCAGAGGTCACAGAGGGTACAAGAGGAACCTGAGGTGCTTGTTGCTGATACAATGGATGTACCAGAGGGGAATGGAAACCCTTTGGGACATGGACTCGGTCGAGCTAGGCAAACTCGACCGATTGGTCAAGGAGATGCTCCAAACCGCCACCAACAGAGACAAGGGATTGTTCCACCACCAGTGCAGAACCACAACTTTGAGATCAAGCTGGGAATGATCAACCTTGTCCAGAACAAGATGTTCCATGGATTGCCAAGTGAAGACCCCATTGACCACCTTGATGAGTTTGATAGGCTTTGTGATTTGACAAAGATCAATGGTGTCTCTGAAGATGCCATCAAGCTGAGACTCTTTCCTATGTCTCTAGCTGACAAAGCTCACCAATGGGAGAAGAGCTTGCCCCATGGCACAATCACCACTTGGGATGAATGCAAGAAGGCCTTTCTTGCTAAATTTTTCTCCACCGGTCGCACAGCCAAGCTTAGAGGAGAGATATCCAGCTTCATCCAGCGAACAATGAGACATTCGCAGAGGCTTGGGAGAGGTTCAAAGGGTACACAAGTCAGTGCCCACACCATGGATTCAACAATGAATCACTACTCTCCACTCTTTATAGAGGATGCTTGCCTAGGTATAGGGAGATGCTAGACACAGCTAGCAATGGGAACTTCCTCAACCAGGATGTAGATGATGGCTGGCAACTTGTGGAGAACATAGCTAACTCAAATGGAAGCTATGGAGAAGAGTATGATCGCACCAACCGGAGCTCGACCCACCACTCGATCGAGTCAGACGAAAAGTTGAGAAAAGATGTTAAGGCATTGAATGAGAAGTTGGATAAGCTGATCCTAGCTCAGTCCACAATGAAGAAAGTCAACTTTGTGTCTGCTGAGGAGATGGAACCAGTCCAAGAAGGGGAGGATACACAATTTGCTGAGGTATGCTACATGAGCAATGGGCAAGGAGGTTACAACAAAGGATACTATAACTACAAGTCCAACCCTGCCATGTCATACCGCAACACTGATGTTGCTAACCCTCAGGACCAAGTCTATCCTCAACAACAAGCAGCTCGATCGAGTCAAGGCCACAACATGGGTATGGTCAAAAGAACAATTACCAAGGACCACAAGGCACTTTCCCTGGACAACAAATGAATATCCCACCAGGCTTCCCCCACCAACCGCCCCAGCCTGCACCTTCACAAGAGAATGAGCTCAAGCAATGCTAAAGCAACTACTTCAAGGGCAAGCTGATGGGGTAGTGGACACAAGCAAGAAGCTAGCTGAAATAAACTCTAAGATCGAGAACCTCAACACAAGGGTTTACTCTCTGGAGAATCATGCTTCTTCTGTTGCTGCTGCTACAAAGCAAGGACAACTACCTGGTAAAGCTATTCAGAACCCCAAGGAACAGTGCAAGGTCATCTTCACTCAAGAAGGACTTGTTGAAGAAGAGGATCAAGAAAGGGTCATTGAAGATTTTTGTTTACTGCTGAATGATGAAGAGATTGTTGCTGCTGAGGCTCCTGGAGTCCAGATTGATCAACCAGAAGTGCATGCACCTACTGTGGCCATTCACACTTCACCAGTTGAGCTCGCACGACAAGCTCGATCGGCAGCTCGATCGAGTCCAACTCTAGCTCGATCGAGTCCGACCTCTTCTGTCCGACAGCCTGTTTTGCTTGATCCTTATCAACCGGTTGCCGCTTCCTCGTCTCGCCTACTTAGTCAAGGTCACAAGGAAGTGATTCACAAGTTCAGAAGAGATCTCAGTGGGATTGGAATTGAGTTGCCTCCTATGGATAGCATGAGTGAGGCATTTGATCAAATGCAAATGGTCAAGGATGTTCTAGCCAACAGTGATAAAGTTTCAGAGGTCCTACAAGAGTCTACTCATCAGTTCAACCTGCTTACTTCACCCACCTTCCTACCAAAGGTCAAGGATCAAGGGAAATTCACTCTCCCTTGCACACTTGGGCATCTTGAGATTGACAATGCCTTAGTGGATTCTGGAGCAAGCATCAATCTGATCTCTCTCTCCATGGCAGAGAAGCTAGGCATTGCTGGAGCCTTGCAGCGCCCTACTACTTCAATCATGTTTGGAGATGCAACTTCTAAGTCTCCTCTTGGAGTGTTCAAGAACTATCACTTGAAAATTGGAGAATGCATCATCCAAACTGATCTCACTGTGATGGAAATGGAAGAAGAGAAGGATTTGCCTTGTTATTGGGAACCCCTTTCCTTAGTACAGTTGGCGCTTCAATAGACTTTCACAAGCAAGAAGTGATCCTTCACAAGGTGAATAGTTTGGTGTCATATCGCTTGCAGCCTAGAGGTTCAGACTTTTGTGCCACAATTGACAGTACCAACTCAGTTCTAAGAGTCATGGAGCTACAAAGGTTGTGAAGGAAAGGGTTGACAAGGAACCAAGAGTTGGGAAGGATAAGGATGAGAGAGGACCAAGGATTGAGAAGCCACGTCTTGAGAGGGCTAGAGTTGAGAAACCACGATCTGATAGGCCAAGAGCTGAGCGACTTGTTCAAGCCCCTTGTGTGCTTGATGAAGAGAGCCTTCAAGCTTTGTTTGATGAGCCACTAGGAAGGGCTCTAAAGAAGGGGAGGATGCAGCCTCTAAGGCAAGACCAGGAGATAAAAGAAAGGATCCACCAGCTCAGGCCCCTTCAGTCAAGCCATCTCAGCTCACAATGACTTTGTTCCCCACCAAGTTTGAAAATGGGAAGATTGAGTACAAGATAAGGTACAAGGGGAGATCAAGGCCATTCTCTAGAGCCAAGGCCTTGGTGACTTCAGAACAGTCCAGGGACCCAACCAAGCTAAAGGAGCTTCTGTCTCAAGTCCTCACTATCACCCTTGATGGTGGGACTAGCTCAACCAATGCCTAAGAAGGTAAAGGTCAAGCTATGGGACCTTAAACAAGCTCACTTGGGAGGAAGTCCCATGTTTATCCTTGTACATACTCTATTTATGCAATTTCTATCTATCTTTATGTTTTTAACCTTTCAATAAGTTAAGTTTAGGTGTCAAAGGAGCCAGCTCGACCACAGCTCGATCGAGCTAGAAACCAGGGCAACTCGATCGAGTACTCAACTCGACCAAGGTAAGTTTTTGAATTTCAAATTCATAACCGTTTTCTTGGTCAAGGGAGTGGGTCCCACAAGCTGATTTTGGTCCCCCACTACCCTAATTGATCAGAGAATCCCTAGTTTCTTGTTCCCTCTTTATTTCATCTTTTAATCTCAACCACACATCTCAAACACTCTCTTCCCCATAACTCGATCGAATCCACCTTCTCTCTCCCACACTTAAATTTCTGAAATCATCCATCTCTCTCTTCACCACAAGAAAAATCGATTTCAATCTCTCTCTTAAGTTTTTGCGATTTCATTGTTCTTCATCTTGTTTTGCTTAGTTCTAGTTTACTGCTCTTCAATTCCATCATTCAACAAGGTATGAACCCTAAAACCCTTATCCTCCATCTCGATTCCTTTTATTGCTTGTTTTCTCTTGATTTTTGATTGCATGTGTCCCTTGTGGACTTGTTATTGAGAATTTGCTTTCATTTTCGCCTCTGCTTATAACTTGTTAGTTTTGCTTCACCTCACCTCTGTTTTGCCTTTAAACTTGTTGCATGTGCTTGAAATTGAATTTGAGTTTGGTAATGGTTAGGTTGCTATGTTTTCACTAGAATTGCTTATTGTTCCATTTACTAGTTGTTCTTGGTTCAATTTGATTGATTAGCATCCTTTCCAGCTCTTAATACTTGAATTAGGTTTGGTTATACTCTGTTTTCACCAACTCGATCGAGTTTGTCACTCGAGTTTTTTGACTCGATCGAGCTGAGTGTCGAGTTGACCAAACCGATCATTACAACTCTAATTCTTTGTAATTTTGATGCATTTCAGGACCAATCTAAGATGTTGAGAGGTGAAGGAAGCAAGCAGCGTTCACAAGGATGGAGATGATAAGAGGAGCAAGGAGGATACTCAAAACACAAACCAAGGAGGACATAGAAGAGGTTGAGAGGGTGAGGGAAGAAAGGAGAACCAAAAGAAGGAATGATCCTTCAGCAGTGAGAGCGAAGCAAGGAGAGTTTGAAATTGGAGTGAACATCCCAATGAGGAGAATGATGACTCCCAAGTGAAGAAGAGGGTGAAGAGATCAATCAAGAGATTGAGGAGAGTGAGCATGAGGGCAATGAGAATGTGCCCATGGAAGAGGAGGAGTCAAGGAAGAAGAGGATGAGCTCCCCATGTACCAAGAGCACTATGATGCTCTTTCTCCATGGACTTCATGGACACCAAGTACCCACATGTTGACACATGAAGGCCCTTGGAATCTTTGAAGATGTGGAGTTGGTCCTCAAGAACATGCACTTGGCCAAGCTCTTCTCTACCACATGGAATCCTACAAGGAGCTCACTTGCGAGTTCCTAGCTTCAATGAGGTACCACATGTATGAGGAAGAAGATAGAGCTGATTTGGACCAAGGATTGGGATGGATCACGTTCTTGGCTAAGGGAGAGAAGAGAATGGTGACCTTTAGGCAGCTGGAGATCTTGTTTGGGTTCAACTATGGAGAGGGAACCAAGTGGAACTTCAAGGAAAAGGAACTCCAAAGGGTTTGGGCTACAATCGCTGATGGAGTGTACTCTTCCTCAAGGTCCAAGGCAGCTCAGATCAGGAGCCCAGTCTTGAGATATGTGCACAAGGCACTTGCCAACACCTTCTTTGCAAGGAAGGCAACCGGGACAATCAACGAGGGGGAACTCAAGTTTCTTGACATGGGAATCAAGCCCTTCTCTCACGCACAAGCGATGGCAAGAGGATCAGGGGAGATAGATCTGACACAGGGAACTTGATGCCTTTCCTTGACCACCTCCTCACCTACAAGATCACAGCTTACAACACTAGGCACCAAAGAGGAAGAAAGCTTAGTGTTGGAGGGCTCATCACACCTATCTTGTGTGCTGCTGGAGTAAACCCAACTGATAGAGAGCTACTGAACCAGGTTGGATGGACATCAAGTTTTGCAAGACCAACCTCCTCATTGAGCACAAGGAGTTGGATGGGAGGTTCCAATTCAAGTTCACACATCCATTGGTTGGACCCTCCAAGTTTCTCCTGCCTAACCCAGAGCTCACCACAGTGTAAGGGGTGAGAACATTGACTTCAGACCCCCTGTGTACACATTAGTTGGGCATGAGGATGATTGCGAGAAGAGGAGCCTGAGCTCGATCGAGGAGTCTGAGCTGAGTCGAGCTGAGGATCGAGCTGAATATCAGGTCCAGGGAGCGCTGATTTGGGTGAGCCTGAGTGCTACTACTTTGAGGAGTATGAGGCTCCAAGGATGAACCCCTCTGTTGTGGCTGCCCACAAGAGGATTGGACTTCTCCAAAAGTTCAACAAGTGGCAAGGGAAAGCCATTGAGAAGATGCAAAAGTCCATGGACAAGATGGTGAGCAAGATCAAAAGTTTGGAGAAGAAGGTTTCTGGTTCTTCAAGCAAGAAGAAGTCCAAGGCCCCCACATTCCCTAGGAGTAGTCACTCCTCACCACCCAAGGAGGCTCCCTGCCCAAGAGCCTCACAGAGCCTCTTCTTTCGAGCCAAGGGAAGGAGAGACAACACGCAGAGAAGGAGGAAGAGTTCTAAGGCCAGACGCTCCAGCTCGACCACCGGACTCGATCGAGTCCAAACAGAGGAAACTCAACTCGATCGAGCTGACGGTCGAGTTGACCTGGAGGAGCCCCTAGTTTGAGAACCCTGGGATTCGAGTACGATCAACCCAGTACCAGGACTTCTCTCAGAGCTGGACCCCTACAACCGCTTCGAGCGAGCACAACTCCACCAAGGCCAAGGAAGCCACACCCACTTTGAAGATGAAGAAGAAGAGGAAGAGGAGCCACAAGCTCGATCGAGTGAGCCGAACCCAGTTGAGTGGAGCGCTCCTGATGGCCGTCTCCCATCTCCAGACCACGACCTAGCCTCCCAGTTCTTTGGGGGGCACTGAGGTATCCAAACACCAACCCTTGTATATACCATTTCATATTTTCTTGCTTTGTTCTTGTTTTTCTTGGTTTTGCCCTCTTGAATCTTTCACTAAATTTTTCTCACACAAGGGACTGTGTGATTTAAGTTTGGGGGAGGGTTCAAGAGATGATTTAACCTTGTTTTCTTTGTTCTTAGTTTTTCATTTATCTTTTGCATAGAAAAACCAAAAAAATCATAAAATTTTCAAAAAATCCAAAAATATTTTCATCTTTTTGCATTCATATTTGTTAGACTTGTTTAGGATTGCATTTTTCACTTGCATTGTTGATTTGACTTTGAAAACTTGTCCATCTTTTGCGATTTCTTGAGTGCCCTGTTTTTAGATTCTTTTGTGCATTAGGGTGAGATTGATTGAGCAGCAAGAACCATGTTTATCTTGATCATATCGCTGCATGCACATCTCATTCAACCATTGCTGTGATTTGATGCATTTCCCTATCTATTTGAACCATAACTTGATCTTTAATTACCAATGCTTGCATTTGATTTCAACTCATGGCTACCACATACATATCTGGACATTCTTTACCATTTTCATATCCCTTTTGCTTGTCCAGATAGCTGATCTCTATCTTTGAGACAGTTACCACACCTTAAACCTAAGCCTTTTCATTTCAAACCCCTTATTATCTCTTGTGCGAATGTGAGAACCTTTCTTGGCTTTGCTTAGCATAAGGTGTTGTGTTTAAACCGGCAGGGGCAGTAGTTCTAGTTGTCTAGTTCTCTTGGGATTGTTTTCAGGCTAAGTTTGGGGGTGCCAACTCGAGCTCGATCGAGTTGGGTGTCAAAAACCAGAAAAGTGGTAAAAATTGGGAAAAACCCAAAGGAAAAAGAGTTTGGTTAAGTCCAGGGAGTTGGCAGTGTTAAAAGGGTCTAGTAAAGGTTTGGGAAGTTAAAAAAGGAAGTAAAAAGGGTTCTAAGTAGAATGAAAAGAAGGCAAAGCCTCAAGTGTCAAAAAGGAAGAAAAGTTCCCTAAGTGTTTAGAAAATCCCAAACCGCTAGATGTTACCTCAAGAAGCCTCTCCCTAGGAAGTTCTTAAAAGAAAAGTGAGCAAAGCTCCTCAGTTTCAAAGGCGAAATGCCAAAAAGGGTAGTTAGGATTTTGTTCTAAAAAGCTCTAAGTGTTGAACTCGATCGAGTTAGGATTAGGCGGCTCGAGCTGCTGTTCTTGCATCATCTTTGGTTCTAACACTTAGCCTTCTGCCAAAGCAAAGCCACTTTCTTGAGAGATCCCTGTTACTAAACCACCATACAAAAGAGACCCTCTTTGTCTCTTAACCCATAAACCCTTGAAACCAAATGAGTTGATTGATCTTGCATGTTTTTGGTTCACTGTTTTTGCTTAATGAATGTTAAAGGGATTTGCTGATTTGAATGCATTGTTTGAGTGACTGTGAAGTGGGATTGATGTTGATAAGCATGGTTAAATCTTAATGAATATCTCTCACCTTGTTGCATTCTAGAATCTCTAAGTTGGACATTTAGCAAATCGCTTTTGAGGACATGTTTTTAAGTGTTGAATCAGCTTGTTTTCAAACCTCATCTCTTTCTTGTTCTATTTGTTTGCTTGAGGGCAAGCAAAGTTCAAGTTTGGGGGTGTTGATGTACTTGCATTTTACATAGTTTTAGCACATCTTTTATGCATCTTTTGCATAGTTTTAGCTTCCATTTGCATCATATCTTGTTCCTTTTCTCTTCTTATGCATTCATGTTAGTTTTAGGTTGCATTTGCATACATATGCATGTTTGGTCCTTTGAAATAGGTCTTTTGGAGCATTCTGGAGCATATGGGACATGAGGAGCATGGAGGGACTTGGCGCATGGAAGCAGCTCAACTGGACACGCAAAGGAAGAAGGGAGAAGCCATCTTGAAGACCAGCTCGACCGTCCACTCGACCAACCGGTCGAGTTCCTCAACTCGACCGGCCAAGCTTCAACTCGATCGAGCTGAGAAGTCAAAGTCAAACCCGAAAAATGTTGCTTCCCCCTTGACTTTCCTTTGACCCTAAACCTAATCCTCTTGTATTTAAAGGCTCTAAGCCACGAAAAAACCACCAAGCTTTAGATTACTTTGTTTTAGTTCTCTTTAATTTTATTGTCTTTACTTTTTAGAGATCTAATCCCATCTTTGTGTTCTTGAAGCTCTTGCTTCTTGAATCCTAGATCCTGGATAATCTCTTTGTATTTGCACTTGCTTATTTCAATAAAAGTTGTTTAATTTCATCTCCTCTTTCTTATGATGTCTCTTTTATTGCATTTGCTTGTGTTTACATTCATGTGTAGTGAGTAGTTACCCATTAGGGTTTGAGATGGGATAGATTAGAGGTTTCATATGCTTAATCCTTCTAGCTTATGGTCTTAATCTAGATTCTCTCTCTTTTGGATAGATCTTAAGGCTACATGACCACTACCCCTGGCTTGTAAGTCCTTAGGCGATTCCCCACACGGAAGTGATGGCATTCGCTGGAAAAGATCCACTAAGAGCTCCAATATCTCTTGCTCTAGACAATAGAGGTCTAAGGGGTTGGATGGATTAGTTTGGGCAATGATCCTATGGCCTCCAAGGTTTGATTCTCACTGGCTAACCCCCTGTTTCTGAGATCATTCCTTGGTTGATAGCCTCCACCTTGGGAAAGGGTTGGCTAGGCATTGAGAAGCCCAATATCAAGAGAAGCCTTGATACAAGGAGTTTTAAGAGCTAGATTGATTAAGTGTAGATTCCTTTGATTGCAAAACCCTGTCTTGAACCCTAATTCTCTCTTATCTTGTTAAAGTCGTCACCTTTACTGCTTTTTGCTCAACTCGACCCTAAACTCGATCGAGCTGGTACTCTGTTCCAACTCGACTCGAGTCCTTGGTCGAGCTACTTGTTACTGCTTTGTTTACTTTTATTGCACTGCATTTTCATTTTTAGGTTGTTAGTGTTACTTAAATCTATAACTGCTTGCTTGACTTTCTGGTTGTTTCATATTCTCATAGAGTGACAAGTTTCCCATTTTGGATTGATAACCTCTTATACTTCAATGACTATGATGGTTAAGAGGAATTGTTGATTGATTGTGATTGCACCATTTCATCTTTATTCACCCTGTTTGCATTCCACCTCATATCTTATCATCCTTCATTTCATTCTTATCACATCCACATACAAACTTTTATCATCAACCACTATGTTTGAAACAACCTAATATACTCAGCTTTCGTTGGCTATTAGAATTGCAAACATGCATTACAAGGTTCAAGATTCAATTGTTCACAATAAACCATAACTCAGCTTTCGTTGGCTATGATCTATTGCTCACCAAATACTAGTTTTGAGATCTAGATTCAGCACTGTCGTGGTTCTATTTCTCTAAGATCAGATTACTAGATGTACGGTAGAGTAATCATGCATTAAGCTCAAGTAAAGGTGAAGATCCATAAGATAAATCCCAATTAAGTTGCAACACAATCAAATCATCACGGCCACCATAGATCTCCTCGGCCTAACTAAGAGATCTACTCGGCCATGATGCAAACAAGCAAGCAAAGCATGATTGTAAACATTATGCAAGTATTAAAAGAGATAAAGGGATGAAGAAAGCTTCTCTATTGATGAACAAAGTCGGATTCTCCCTTGAAAACTCTTAAGATCAAGTTTATAGAAATGGAAACAATGAAAAAGAAAGAACAAGAGTTGAGCGGCGCCTCCTTCTTCTTGGACGATCTCCTAGGGCTTCTCTTCTCTTCTCTCTCTCTCACACGTGAACTCTTTGGTAATTTTCGGACTGGACTCGATCGGATTCTTGCGGTGCAATCTGATCCTCCGCTCTAGCGGCTAAAAACATGTATATATGGGCGAAGTCGCGTAGGGTTTTCTTCATGCAAGAAAAGGAAAGTTTCTCATGCGCCGAGCCTTCTTCTCCACGTCGTGTATGGGCCGACATTGTACCAAGGAAAGCTCCAAACATTAGCCAGGCCTCTTCTCTATTCGATCAAGGCCTTTGGCGCTGCTGCTCGGGCCATTAGACACTCCAAATCCTCCATGGGCTTCGTTTACTCGCTTACCGGACATGTCTCGGTAGAAAATAAGTCTAGGCCTCATAGTTGATCCAAATGGCTTCATTCCACTTCGACGTGATGCATGACTCAAGTATCTATCTTTCCATATCAAGATCGTAACTTTTGGACGTCGGGAACTCCTCCGCGCGCGGCCAAACTTCCGAAGCTTCGTTCTGCGCGCTAGCGAGAACTAACACTTGGAGATAAAATGATCTTCTTGACTTGGAAACTTGCATGGATCTTGATTTAGGGCTCTTTTACTCCTTTTTGCATCCTTTTTGATTATTTCACCTACAAAGACTTCAAATCCCACAAATACAAGAAAACTACCTCTAAAGGCAAAGAATCTTGCAAAAACCGTTTGAAAACATAGGTAAATATATAGTAAAATCATGTAAAATATGGTGATATCAGGACTGCATGGGACTCAGCTCGACCGTGCAGCTCAGGATGAAGAAAGGAGCCACCTTTATGCCCAGCTCGACCAACCCGTGCGACCCACCGGTTGAGCTAGGCCAAACTTTTCCAACTTTGCACTAGCTTGACCGGACGCAACTCAATCGAGCTACTTTCCAGAGTCAAGACCCGAGATTTATGCCTTCCCTTTGACTCTCCTTTCACTCTAAACCTAGTTTCCTTTGCTATAAATAGGCTTGAAGCACGAACTAAACACAACTTTTGCTTAATTTTGTAATTTGTATTTCTCTTTTTAGCTTTTAGTTTGGTCTTGGTGTTCTTGAGCTTATGCTCTTTGAATCCAAGATCTAGACCTTGTACTTTCTTATTTGCACTTCTCTATTTCAATAAAAGTTGTTCATTTGCTTGTGCTCTTTCTTTTGATGTTGGTTTCATTTCATTTAGTTGTTTATTTCGCCATGTGTAGTGAGTAGTCTCCCTTTAGGGTTTAAGATAGGATAGACTAAAGGTTGTTTATGCTTAATCTCTTTTGCTTTATGTTCTTAATCTTAAGTCTCTCTCTTTTGGACTAAGCTTAAGCCAGCACAACCACTATCCATGGTGTGTTTGGCTATGAGCGATTTTCTTCATGGGAATGAATAGAAAATTGCTTGAACAAGTCCACTAAAAGCCTTAACATGCTTGTCTCACGAAATGAGGTTCATAGGTGTTAAGGGGTGAGTTTGAACAAAGGTTCTAAGGCCTTCAAGGCTTGATCTCACTGGCTGACCCCCTGTTTCTGAGATCTTGCCTTGACTGATACCTTTCACCTTGGGAAAGGGTTAGCTAGGCTTGAGAAGTTCTATACCAAGAGATAGCTTGAGTACAAGTTGTTTAAGAGCAAGGTTGATTAAGTATAGGCTTCCTTTGGTTGCAAAACCCTATCTTTGACCCTAATATTCACTATAGTAGTCTAAAGTTTCCACCTTTATCATTTTGCATTCACATTGCTCTGTTTTTACCCTAACTCGACCCTCAACTCGATCGAGCTCAGTTACTCTGTTTCTACTCGATCGAGCTCTCGGTCGAGCTTTGTTGCTTTTACTTGTTCTTGTTTAGTTTATGCATTTACTGCTTTATTTACATCCGCATTTACTGGCTTGTTGTATTTTCATTCACTTAGGTTGTTAGTTGTTACATCCATTTCCCATTATCATTTGGCTTGACTTTCAAGTGATTGCATAGCTTCATAGAGCAACAACATTCCCATTTTGGATTGACACCTTAAGTACTACATTGACATGATGACATCTTGAGGAATTGACTGTCTGTGATTACACCTGTCATATCATACCATTCCATCTTCACTTGCATCCACCACATTCACTCACCATCCACTATACTACATTGACAGTAATATCCTTTCATCAATTTGGCGCCGTTGCCATTTGGGTTTGATTTTGTTGCATTTGAGACTCCAATTCACTTGAACGATCAAGTACTATCCCACCTTTGTTGCTTGTACTGCTGGGTTTTTATCTGTTTTGCAGGTGTATGGGAAATCGATCGAGCTCTTCTGCTGAAGACTTGGTTGGGTATTGGGACGACATTGGTAAAAGATAGAGAAAGAGAAGCCAGAGGCAACAAGTTGAACAAGAGGTGATTGTTACTGAAACAATGGATCCTCCACAGTGTAATGGAATCCCTCCTGGAAATGGAAACGGTCGAGCTAGGCAGACTCGACCAATTGGACTTGGTGATGCTCCAAATCGCCACCAGCAAAGAAAAGGGTTTGTCCCTCCTCCTGTCCAGAACCACAACTTTGA